CTCCACATGTTTATGTGGAGTTTACATGTTTTCCACATGTTCTCCACATGTTTATGTGGAGTTTACATGTTTTCCACATGTTCTCCACATGTTTATGTGGAGTTTACATGTTTTCCACATGTTTGTGTGGAGTTTACATGTTCTCCACATGTTTGTGTGGAGTTTACATGTTCTCCACATGTTTGTGTGAAGTTTACATTTTTGTGTGGAGTTTACTTATTCTCCACATGTTCTCCACATGTTTATGTAGAGTTTACATGTTTTCCACATGTTATCCACATGTTTATGTGGAGTTTACATGTTTTCCACATGTTCTCCACATGTTTATGTGGAGTTTACATGTTTTCCACATGTTCTCCACATGTTTATGTGGAGTTTACATGTTTTCCACATGTTCTCCACATGTTTGTGTGGAGTTTACATGTTTTCCACATGTTCTCCACATGTCTGTGTGAACTTTACATGTTCTCCACATGTCTGTGTGAACTTTACATGTTCTCCACATGTTTGTGTGGAGTTTACATGCTCTCCACATGTTTGTGTGAAGTTTACACGTTCTCCACATGTTTGTGTGGAGTTTATTTATTCTCCACATGTTCTCCACATGTCTATGTGGAGTTTACATGTTCTCCACATGTTTATGTGGAGTTTACATGTTTTCCACATGTTCTCCACATGTTTGTGTGGAATTTACATGTTCTCCACATGTCTGTGTGGACTTTACATGTTCTCCACATGTTTGTGTGAAGTTTACACGTTCTCCACATGTTTGTGTGGAGTTTATTTATTCTCCACATGTTCTCCACATGTCTATGTGGACTTTACATGTTGTCCACATGTTTGTGTGGACTTTACATGCAAATCTGATTTTTTCAATTCCTATCCAGGTTGTTTCAGTATGTGGTTTTAAATCGGATATATATCTGATGTTTTCAAAGTGACTGCAGTGTGAACGCTCATGTGACANGTGTAGCGTTCACACAGGGGTCTGATGCAGGTCACATTTAAAATGTAATGTGAACGTTCACACAAAAAGATCGGATTTTTTCAAAATTTCGGAACTGAGCATTAAGACCTGCAGTATGAATGTAGCCTATGATTCAGGCTCTTCACAGTCAAATCAGCAGAAGGATGGCTACCTGTTTTTTCTGAGTTCTCCYTCAGTTTGAGTGAGAATTCATTGTAACACCTAACTAATGTGGCTATAACACTTTTTAAGCTGTTATGTTAAAGCAGCAAGCCAGTGGCAGCAGGTTTACATTCTGCTGTGTCACACACTGATGTCTGAGGTGTTCATTGTTAGGAGGACAGAGTAAAAAAAGTGCTCTTAAACTTAGCAAAACATTCAACTTCTGGGACCTTTCTGTCCAACATAAGAACCAGTTCCACGTCTTTCTCCCCTGGGCTGTTACTGCAGCAGGACTTATTCATAGAAAAGCAATAAATAATTGGGGGAACTCTTTTTGTTGTTTCCTTGCAGAAGGCTTTTTCAACCACAACAAAACCTCCTCATGGTTCCCGAGGCCCAGGTCAGCCCACTTCGAGACACCCCCAACTCCTCACCGGCACACCGGCCGAGACTTGCCCTCATTGAAGACTGCGCAGAGCCTCTGGTCAGCAAGAAGCTCAGAATATCTCACTTATCAAGCAAAAAGCCAAGAGAGAATTCAGAGCTGAAGCCGTCTCGACGCTCGACACAGAAAGACGCAGAAGTGAAAGCAGATGACGGACGAGGAAACTCGCTCGATCCCAAAAGACTCTTTGACTCCCTGTCAGCAGTTTGTCAGCAGGAAGCAGTCGCGGCTAAACGTCTCGAGCCAACAGATTGTGCTCAAGAAGGACCTAAAGACCCAACAGGACAACCAAAAACTGACTCTGATCGCCCTCCGTCTCCTCTGCTAGTCCCTGATCTGAGCAGACATGCTGTGAAGAAGAAGAAGAGCAAACACAGAGAGCACGTAAGAAAACACTTCATTATATATTATATTACACAGTTTTTCCTTTTTCATGCGACACATCGGTCATATTTGATTTTTCTTGTGTCCCAAGGAGAAAGATGGATGTAGAGACAGGAAAGAAAGACGAAAAGATCCCAGTTCAGAGGTTAAAAATGACGACAAAGTTGCTCTGGACAGCACAGGTGAGCGCTGACAGATTAACAACCTAAAGTATCAAATGTTCTTGAAGTTTTTTTAACTCCCTGATGTCAACCTTTTTCAGATCTGAGTGAAACTTTGTTTGACTCTAACGTGCCTCAAGCGGAAACTGACGCAGCCGACTATTTACTGTAAGTTTAGTTTCAATTCAGTTTTTTTCCCACAACAAACTTTGTCTTATGTCTCTACAAAAAACATTTACGTACATTATAAAAAACATTTAGTAAAAGTTATCAATCTAAAGAAGCCAGCAGATTGGGTTGAATCTTCAGTTTATCACAGTCTCCCATCATGAGCAGCACATTGGTGACAGTGGGAAGGAAAAACTTTCTTTTAACWGGAAGAAACCTCCAGCAGAACCAGGCTCAGAACAGGCAGCCATCTGCCTCGACCGGCTGGGTTTGAGGACAGGAAAGAAATACAAACACAAAGGAGAGAAATTAAAAACAGCAGCAGAGTGAGGAAATATCAGTTTGTCCTCCAGCAGTCTAAGCATATAGTAGCAGAACTAAGGAACAACTCAAATGTGATAAAAATCCTTCAATTTCTTATTTGTTTTTTATTGTATTCCTACKAGCATTGACCCACTCTGGATTTCATAAAAACAAAAGTAGAAAAGCTTAGACTTGTGAGGAGCAAAAAGCTGAAGTTTCTATTTACCGTATTTTTCGGACTATAAACCGCACCCGCCATTTAAAAAAAAATCCGCGAACATTAACATATAAGCCACACCGGACTATAAGCCGCACCCCCAACATAAAAAACAGTACACCCAAATTTGCCATCAAAAAAGTGAATTCAACATCAAAACATAAAAAGCAAACCTTTAGGAATTAAAGTTCGGAGGAATACGGTTCATTTAACTGACCTTATTTTGGTAGTTTTCTTTAACAGTTTCTGGTCCAACAAAACGTCTCTTTCATTGTCCTCCTGCGCACTGAAACCATCGAAGTCCTCTTCAGTGTCGGAGTTAAACAAGCTGAGAAAAGCTGCGTCACACAGCAGTATCTGTTCAGTGTTGCTTTGTGTCGCTGTCCTCCCGGGGTAATGCTGGCTCTGAAGCTGTGGTGGGAAAACCCTCCCACTCCAGCATACGTTACTGCATGGGATTCCTTCCCCGGGGAGTGCAATGAGGAAGAAAAAAGTCCGRGGCTCTTCACTCAACGTTTATCCACAAACTGGTCCTGGATTAAGCTCCAAAGTTTTTATCAGTCAGATTCCACCGTGAAAAATGTCTATTTTATCCCCTTTTATGAGTTTTTGGCCGTTGACTATCTTTAAATCGTTGCTTCCTGGTCAATGTGGCTCTGGAAGCGATCGCTTTTTTTCCCCTTCTTTTTTTGAAGCGAGTGGTTGAAGCAAATGGAGCATAAGAGTCCCCTGGTGGCTGAAGAAAAAAATCCATGTATAAGCCGCACCGGTCTATAAGCCGCATGGTTCAAAGTTCAGGAAAAAAGTCGCGGCTTATAGTCCAAATAATACGGTAACAGAAGTTCAGAGGGTCTGATCTTTGCTTTGGGTTGGATTGAATTCAGTTAAAGAGAGCGTTTTTTATTTTTCTGAKCAGGAAGTACACAGTGATTTGCAGCCACACGCAGAGGCAGAGTTATAAAGAAGACTTCAACAAGGAGTACAGCGAGTACAGAGACTTGCACGCTCGCATCGACAACGTGACGCGCCAGTTCATGGAGCTGGACACGCAGCTCAAACGACTTCACCACGACTCGCATAAGTACAAGGTAAAGGATAAATCGTTGCCACTCCAATGCTTTTGGGATTATTTTCCATGACTGACATACGATTTATTCACATTTTCTCTCACAGACGGTTCGGAATAAAATTCTTCAAGAGTACCGGAAAATTAAAAAGGTAACTTTCTTGTTTCAAAATGACTTCACGGAACAAAACAACTTATCCATGTTCCTAATAGTTCACTTTTCTTCTTTAGTCGAACCCTAACTACAATGAGGACAAGGTTCGCTGTGAGTACCTCCACAACAAACTGGCTCACATCAAGAAGCTGATCTCAGACTTCGACCAGCAGCAGCTCGCAGCAGATCGACACTTTCCCGAATGAAGAGCCGGACTCGAGGAAATTTGTCGAGGGAACGTTTCGAGGCGAGCAAAGCTCTGCCGAGCTCAGTGCCGACAACTCGCCGTTTTCACGGCCAAACCTGGTTGAGAGAGGTCTGCAGCAGAAGTGCCAGRGAGCTTTGGAGCGGCTCTTTAAAGGGCTGCTACGACACTAAGTGGGCACGGCTGCAGGCGCAAAACAGAAACGGTTCTGCAAAAGCTGTTTAAAACGAGAAACAGGTGTAGAGATAAGGTGCTAAACCTAAAAACATTTGTAGATCCCCATCAAATGTACTTTTTGTTTAGGTGAAGTATCGTTAATGTGCTCTGTTATCTGGTTCAGTGTTCTGCTGACAAATCTGCATGCTGTATTCAGAAAGATCCCAGGATTTGTCAGGGGAGGATTTTCTTTTCATGGCAGCTATGATGCAGACGTGTCCTGAGAAAACGCCCGTCCATCAGTATTTCCTGGGTTTAGTGGATCATCAGTGTTTGTTTTTCACTGGTCTTATCCTTCCATTGTATTTTTCTTTCTTTTATCATCATAAAGCGTTAGCTTTAAGTGTAAGTGGGGAATGTAAATTATGAGCCACGCATTTAGTTATCTTAAAATTTTATTTACTGACTTATAGGCTGAGATGTGGGGGGAKATGCATGCTATGTTTCTTACAGAACGCATGATGAATAAATCAAAATATGTTGTCAGGTTTTATCAAATAAATTTATATTGTTTTGTGTTTGGTTTCTATATTTGGTCTGTCTTCATATTTCTTTCTAAACTTACGTCAGTTAGACCGTATTGTGTCGGTGCATTTTTAGTTTTAATGTGTTTTTGTGTTTTTTAGTAGGAGCTGTACATTCTTTTACGCTTCTCTGCAGCAAAAAATACACACAAAATTTTTAAAATTCATATATGTACATATCTTGCATATTTTATTTCAGGCTTCTTTAGTAATATTAAATAAAAATATGGATAATTTTCCAAAAAAAAAAAAAAAAAAAAACCAATACAAGTATACTGTAACATAGCCTAGGTACAAACAAAATACTCAGGAATATACAATAATAAGAGAAATGGTGCAGTAATACATTTTACAGACCTATTATTTATAGGTTTATTTGGGGAAAAAATTAAATATACAAAAACAATTACAGACATGAAGAATATAGAAAAGCTATTCAGGTGACTTAAAAAGGTAAAAAAAAATCTCATTGGGTGCTAAATAATAACATTTTGCGTCTATTGTTTCAGTTTACAAGCTGAATGGGAAAGCATGAGACAGGGAAATGTGAATGTGGGGATGATGAAACAATAGAACATATTTTTTTGTATTGTAGAAAGTTTAGGGAACAACGAAAACAGTTGACTCAAAATCTCAATAATATGAAAATGAAGTTAGATATTGTTGACTTACTCCAGAAACAGAAGTTATCAGGTCATATTTTTATATTAAAAACAGTGTAATTTG